AAGTTACCAAGTTGAAAAATAAGTTACCAAATTACCAAATATGAAAACTAAGGAAAAAAATTACCAATTTTGTTAAAAAAAGCCAATGCGGCAACACTGCATGTGTTACATATGTACATACATTCGTACGAAGACAAACAGCTGATTCCGTACGGAAGGTGCGATCAGTAACGCTCTTTCCTTAAGCAAATGACGTTTGGCGAAACTTGACGAAACTTGATGTTAAGCACATTATAGTTTCAGAATAGGATTTATGTGTATTCGCACGTTTGCATACGCTTGCTTATTCATATTATAGTTAGCCCTTTAGTTTTGCTGCAGTGCAGCGACAGAGTAAGTGACGAGAAAAAATATATGCGGACACTTATATATGTATGTATGCTCATCTTTAGTTCAGCTACTTAATTCCGATTCCCTCCTCGATCAACTTTGCGTTACTGTGCGGGGCTCTTTCGCAGTGCAGCGACAGAGTAAGTGACGAGAAAAAATATATGCGGACACTTATATATGTATGTATGCTCATCTTTTGTTCAGCTACTTAATTCCGATTCCCTCCTCGATCAACTTTGCGTTACTGTGCGGGGCTCTTTCGGCCAACTGTTCGTGTGTGCGTCGTATATCCCTCCCAACAGTAATGACGAGATTTATAAGTATCACATTAATAATTTAGTTTATCTAAGCTCTGAAGTTAAAAATCACCATATGTGTGTCCTTGGCGATTTTAATCTTAATAATATTTCTTGGAGTAACTTAAGTAGTTCATCAGTGTTAACGCCAGTTAATGTGTGCAATGTCAATGATACTTATGTTACTGATAGTCTCTTAAGTGTTGGCCTTTCCTAAATTAATCATATTTTAATTATAATAATATCCCAACTGTTTTTACCCTCCATTCCCGCCCATCCGCACGAGGGGCGCAGTCCGCATGACGTACGGAACCAATATTTTAAATTTTTTGTGCCGAGTCACGATAGGAAGGAGTTTGTTAAGTGTCGAGATCTAAAACTGTTCAGCTACAGAACTAAATTCATCAGCTGATTTTATGTATTTATGTCAATAATTCACTTATTGAGAGAGGAGAGTATCGCTTTCTTAATGCTGAAAAGCGGATCTGATATATCAAACGTGCTGGAATGAGAGTTAAAAGCCTGGCATAAGCAACGGAGTGGGTCGTGCAATTCAAAATTGGTTTTACAAGCTTTCAGAAATATGGGACAAAAGTGTCTTGATACGCGTGAGGGAACATTAAAGCTTACATCAGCCAGAAGAGACGGACTTGAAATTGAGCCTGTCAGTAGTTTAACCATAAAAATTATACCAGGCATTTCCCTGCGACTGGCAAGTTTAGGAAGGTTAATAAGTTTTAAGCGACTCGTATAAAGTGGAAGACTATATTGAGAATCCCATCGGAAATTTCTTAAAGCAAAAAGTAGGAATTGTTTTTGAATTGATTCTATCTTGTCTGAGAAAATTTGATACCTTGGATTCCAAACCACCGAACCGTATTCCAGAATCGGCCTAACTAATGTTGTAAACAGGGTTTTAGCTCACTAAATTCTTTTGACCATCGTTTCACAAATGCAAGTACACCTTTAGCCTTGTTGACTGTCACATTAATGTGAAGATTAAAATTAAGCTTAGGATCCATTGTGATACCAAGGTCCACAAAATTGTATACCTGTTCCAGGTTATGGTTACCTATTATATAAGAAACTGGCAGAACAGCTCTTCGCGAGAAGCACATTACTTTACATTTCTTAAGATTTAGAGGCATAAGATTTACTTTACACCAGTAAGCCATGCTGTTTAAGTCTGATTGTAGCAAAGACCTTTCTTCAATTGAAACGTACGATTTATAAAGTTTTACATCATCTGCATACATTAAAATTTTGGAGAATTTTATATCTGTAGAAATATCGTTTA